TATTTTGGCGATATTCCCCACTTCAAAAATTTGGGATTGTGAAGCAGAAAAATACTAGTTTCGTTTCTATGGTCTATATGTTGCCGTCGTTCTCCATCGCAACCTCACCGGCTTCTCTAGCCGGAACTCTGGTGTCGAACTCAATGGTAGAGCAGAGCAGATATGTTGTTGCCTCGTAATCTCTTGCAATGGCTTTGAGTTTTCAGATCTTCGTTGGTTCAGATTGAAATAGGCTTCTTCATCTTCTTATCTGTCTCCGATTCTCAATTTCTTATTTGCCCATAGATCTTAAATTGATTGATTACACAGCAGCTGCTGCATTTAAGTGATTTGCTCTGATTACTGAGGAAAACCAGTGAACAATGGTCGTTCTGAATGAAATTATGCCTTTGACCAGTATCGTATCTCTTGTTTACATTGGTTGGTTATTCAAAGCAATTTTGAGTTGTGAGACCAAGCCAGACATACATGTATGTATGAGCTTGAAAGTTTCTGGTCATTTTAGAACTTTCTATTGAAGCTTTCCTTGAGACAATTTTAATCGATCCATCAGTTGACTGTGTTTCCTCGTTTCAATTTGGTTTGCAGGCTGTTTTTGGTAGTATATATTGGAAGAACAACGATGATGCTACCAAGACGAATAGAAATGTCAAGTACAGAGCTTTTTCTGTTTCTGGAGGTTATAACGCATCTGTGGAAAATGTACCTTTTCCTGGTGATTACTTGGAGCTCCTTAACCAAGTAAGGTTTTGTAATTGTGGTTTGTGGATATCTTATCTCTTTCTGGTTCTTAAAGCAGCAACCAATAATGGTTCATTGAATAGTTTCCTATCGGAAGACATTAGTGTTATGATAGAAAAAGTAGCTAAAGATTATATATTTCAGGTTTCCTATGCAAATTGCTTGTAGAGCTAAAGCATTAAGGGATGATATTTGTGCTTGAAAAATACAGGCCAAACAAGCAGTTGAATTGGCTTTGAAGGACGAGAAACAGTTAATGGTGAGTTTTGCAATAAATTGTTCTCATAAATGGATCTACAAAACACGTTATTATTCGTGATCCAAGGGAACCCTTTTACAGGAAATTGAGTTCCCAACATCTGGTCTTGCATCTGTGCCAGGTAATCCTTTCATGTTATGCAAATTTTCAATGAAGGCTTTTCTCTCTTGCTTACTAGATATTATTGTTTTTTGTGTGCCATTTTACTTGTGTTAGGCGACGGTGAAGGAGCCACAGAAATGACGGAAAGTATTAATATGATACGTGAGTTTTGTGACCGCCTACTAGCTCCTGAAAAGGCTCGAAGCACAAGAATTGTATGTATACGCCATAGTACTGCAGTTCTTCCTAAAAGATAGATTCAACAATCAACATTTACTAAAATTCTTCCTAAAAGAGCTTGCATAACATGGTTTCAGTTCTTCCCCGAGGCAAACGAAGTCAAATTTGCTCAAAAAACCGTCTTTGGAGGAACTTACTTCAAGTTGGACTATCTGACAAAACCCTCTCTTTTTGAGGACTTTGGTTTCTTTGAGAGAGTAAAAATGGCAGATCGAGTGAAGCCAGATGACGAATTGTTCGTTGTGGCATACCCATATTTTAACGTCAACGGTAATTCCCTGAAACCCCCTCATCATCCTGTTAACAGTAACAATATCCGCATCTGACTCATTCCTCTGCTGTGCCTCTTTTGCCGCTCAGAGATGCTCGTAGTAGAAGAGCTTTACAAGGAAGCCGTTGTGAACACTGACCGAAAACTAATCATCTTCAATGGAGAAATTGACCGCATACGATCGGGCTGTATCCTTTTTCTTCTCATAAATGACACAAAGTAGACTCTCTTCCATTTACTTGATAGTCAAAATGAGAAAGCTGACTCAAGAGAAACTCTTGTTTCCTTTAAAAACAAAATAAAAGACTATCCAAAGTTCTTTTACCCAAAACTGGCTGCACTGACCGAGACACTTTTCCCAAAGATGGAGACAGTTTACTACATCCACAATTTCAAGGGACAGAAAGGAGGTGTACTTTTCAGGTTTCTACTGTAACTCCCTTTCTTTAACTGTGATTTTATCTCTTCTTGTTTCTTGGTCTTTAGCTTAATATCATGCTCTGTTTCGAATCGGTATAGATGCTATCCAGGTCCATGGCAAGTCCTGAGGAGAACAAGGAACAGTTACATATGTCTTCATCAGCAAGAAGCCATGCCTTCTCTCAAGGAAGTTGCACTAAACATTCTTGCATCCGCTTGAATTTATTGTACAGAAACTTCATCGTATATACTTGCTTGTAACTTCATGTTAAAAACTCTTCATGTTTTGTCATTCTCGGCATTTCTACATAGCATTGTTGCAATCTTCTTTTTAGTGGAGGTTAAAAACTCTTATTATTTGACCCAAAAGAATATCGGCTACGTCTTTTTGGGTGGATGGGCGTTTTCTGTAGCAGCAAAATGACTCGGCCCATCATCAAAAGGAACTTGCACTAGAAGGAAGTGACGAAAATACCCCTAAAACCCTAGGTCTAGAATATATTTTGACGCAGCCGCTGAGGGATAGAGAGGGAGATCTGTTGGGGGAAAAATGGTGTCAGGATCAGGTATATGCTCGAAGCGCGTGGTCGTGGACGCGCGGCACCACATGCTGGGGCGTTTGGCGTCGATCGTGGCGAAGGAGCTCCTGAATGGGCAGAAGGTAGTGATTGTGCGATGCGAGGAGATTTGCCTCTCCGGTGGACTCGTCCGACAGAAAATGAAGTACATGAGATTCCTTCGCAAACGTATGAACACCAAACCTTCCCATGGTCCCATTCACTTCCGTGCTCCTTCCAAGATCTTCTGGCGCACTGTCCGCGGTATGGTTCCACACAAGACAAAGCGTGGAGCTGCTGCACTTGCCCGCTTGAAGGTATTTGAAGGTGTACCTACTCCATACGACAAGATCAAGAGGATGGTCATCCCCGATGCTCTCAAGTTTGTCCCTTTTCTCACATTTGTCTTTCTCTGTCTTTCTTGACTTGCCATTTTTGCATCATTATCATTTTTGAACCCAATTTTCAGGGTCTTGAGGCTTCAAGCTGGCCACAAATACTGTCTCTTGGGTCGTCTTTCTTCTGAAGTCGGGTGGAACCATTACGACACCATCAAGGTTCTTGTCTCTATCACCATTCTGATTTCTTTCCATTGATGTGAAATAAATATGTTTATTTAGCTACTAATTTATAATTAAATGTAACAATGGTCAATGAACAGGAGCTGGAGAACAAACGGAAGGAGAGAGGTCAAGTGGTTTACGAGCGAAAGAAGCAACTTAACAAACTTAGAGCCAAGGCTGAGAAGGTCGCTGAAGAGAAGCTCGGATCACAGCTCGAAATTCTTGCACCGGTTAAGTACTGAGCTCATCAGTGGTAGTTGTCTTTGCATGTTCTTTTTTCAAGTTTTGAGCCGACCTAATACTGTCTTACTTTTACTTAGATGTTGTATGGTACCTTGCTCTGCTATTTTCTTTCTTGAGTTTTATTTATTTACTTATTAAACTTGAAAGGCGTAATTAAACCGCACCAATTATAGGCTTTTACAAATTATAGGCTTTTACCGAGTTGTCAAAAGTATATTTTACAACAAAAGCAAAACACAGAGAAAATAAATAGGTGCAAACTAAACACTTAAACAAGGAGCATCCACATTGGTGATTTTTTTGTGGGTGTCTTTATATAAACAAATATTAAAAATATATTCTCTCTTCTTTTTATTCAATTTTATATATTCTCTTTCATCATTTTATGTCTTTTTAAGACACTCTCTCTCCAAAAAAAACGGACATGTCCGTGTGTCTTTTTATGTCTTCTTAAGACACTCTCTCTCCAAAAATATCTACTTTCTCTTCTCTTACTTAAATTTTATTAATTTTATATTTTAATACACCCCATTATTTCAACCAAAAACACTCTTTCTTTTTTTTACTCAAATTTTAATAATTTTATATTTAAAGACATCTACAAAATTTTAGCATTAATGATGCTCTAAAATCGTGTCATTGTTGCTAAGATTTTTTATGAGATAAAATTGTGAAAAAAATGAGAGACAAAACTTCTAGAAATTGATGTTATATGTTATGTTAGAGAAATATCTTTACACAAAAAAAAACAATACATTATGAGATAACATAACGCAGTTAGCCAGTTACAAGATGTACCTTATCTATTTTTCA